CATGACTGTATGTGGCTTTCAGGGACAGCAGTAACAACTGAACATTTGGTTATCCTGCAAGAAGGACTGGTATTGCAATTTGGTGCTTTTTCTCACATTGCTCCAAGTGGATATTACACTTACACCTAGTTATCATTACTACAAGCCAATATTCTTGGTAAGAGCCTGAATTGGGGCAGCTGTTAAACAGTCCTCATTCTGATCTCAGTTGTCCACAAGCCCACCAATTAAAACATGAAAGGAACAGACTAAATTTATTGTCATTAGCAGTAGTTGCTAGGTTTACAGATGCAGTCACTGGTACCAGATCAACTTGTTCAAAATTGATCCCTATGATACAGAGCAACAATTGTAACTTTAAAAAGAAAACTGAATTTTATAGGAATTATGAATATAACATGAAATTTCCATTGTTTCAACCTTAAAAATTGTTTGACTCTTCATCTTCTACCAAACACTTCCATCCCAGAACCTTGTCTGAAAAAGCTGTAATTATAACCATGCTGTATTGTACAGATCCATCCTCAGTAAGATTGGCACATCAAAATGTATATATAAAATACTTTTCAATTTTCCAAAAAACTCAAGACAAAAATGCCTAAACAGAGCGATATTTACACATGTAAGATTGAAGCAGCAGGACACAATGGTTAAATAGAAGATTTAACCAAATCACGTACAATGAACACACTTGTATTTGCAGAACTCCAATAAAAGATAACACATCTGATTATCAAATTCTGTAAGAAAAAGACTATCTTGAACTGCAAATTAGACCTTTTAGATTTTTATCCTGCCTTTATTACTTTACAGGCAACTCATGGCAATGAGCACACATTTCTTCCTGTTTTTCCCACAAAAATTGAGATGAGTTGGGCAGAGAGAATAACTGCCCCAAAGTCATCCAGCCAGCTTTCATGCTTAAAGTGGGACTAGAACTCGGTCTCTTGGCTTCTATAGCAATCCTTTATTTGAATAAAAGAGTTTAAATCCACATATCTGTGTTTGATAGGAGTAAACTGAAGGGGCAACAGAAACATTTTTGTTTTATTTTTTCTTCACTTAATGTTGTTTGTATTCCATTTTATACAGATGGCCTTATTGTGTAATGTTTTGTGGTATACTGTGTACTTTGATATGACCTATTGGCTATCAAACCATTAGTTCTCACTATCAAATAGTTTCTGGCAAAATATGCTGTTTTTAGCAAAAAATGAATGTTCTTAAAGTGGCATGTTTGTAATGATTATGTATCTAGTATTAAACATAAAATTGTGCTTTTTATCTGTAACTAGTTTCAACATCCAAAAAATGATGTCCTTATCATCATGGGGGATTGGAATGCTAAGGTAGGAAGCCAAAAGATAACCAGAATAACAGGCAAGTTTGGCCTTGGGAGTACAAAATGAAGCAGGGCACAGGCTAATAGAATTTTGTCAAGAGAATACGATGGTCATAACACTCTTTTCCAACAACCCAAGAGACGGCTCTACACATGGACATCACCAGACGGTCAACATAGAAATCAGATTGACTATGTGCTCTGCAGCCAAAGATGGAGAAGCTCTATACAGTCAGTAAAAACAAGACCAGGAGCTGACTGTGGCTCAGATCATGAGCTTCTCGTTGCAAAATTTAGGCTTAAATTGAAAAAAGTAGGGAAAAGCACTAGGCCACTCAGGTATGAACTAAATCATATTCCTGATGAATATACAGTAGAGGTGACAAATAGATTTAAGGAATTAGATCTGATAGACAGAGTGCCTGAAGAACTATGGATGGAAGTTCGCAACATTGTACAAGAGGTAGCAACTAAAACCATCCCAAAGAAAAAGAAATGCAAGAAAGCAAAATGGCTGTCTGAGGAAGCTTTGCAAATAGCTGAGGAAAGAAGGGAAGCGAAAGGCAAAGGAGAAAGAGAAAGATACACCCAATTGAATGCAGAATTCCAGAGAGTAGCTAGAAGAAATAAGAATGCCTTCTTAAATGAACAGTGCAAAGAAATAGAAGAAAACAACAGAATAGGGAGGACCAGAGATCTCTTCAAGAAAATTGGAGATATGAAGGGAATGTTTCATGCAAAGATGGGCATGATAAAGGACCAAAATGGCAGAGACCTAACAGAGGCAGAAGAGATTAAGAAGAGATGGCAAAACTACACAGAAGAACTATACAAGAATGAGCTTAACATCCCAGATAACCACAATGAGATGGTCACTGACCTCGAACTCGACCCACATCCTACAAAGTGGGCCTTAGAAAATCTCACAAGCTGACCATCTCATTTGTCTCTTGAGAAACCTATATGCGGGTCAAGAAGCAACAGTGAGAACCGAACACGGAACCACTGATTGGTTCAAAATTGGAAAAGGAGTCCGGCAAGGCTGTCTGTCGCCCTGCCCGGAAGATGCAACAACCATAAGATATGGATGGAGACAGACTCCTGCAAAAAGTTCCCAGAAAACTCCTGGCGTTCAAAACAACCTCAGATGGAAATTAAAAGACGCTTGCTCCTGGGGAGGAAAGCTCCAGCATACTAAAAAGCAGAGACATCACCCTGCCAACATCAACTGTGAAATGAAAAAGGCTGAGCACAAAAGAATGGAACTATGGTTAGTCCCTTGGACTGAAGCTCTTTAGAAGGCTGAAGTTGAAACTCAAGTACTTTGGCCACCTAATGAGAAGGAAGGATTCACTGGAGAAGAGCCTAATGCTGGGAAAGATTGAGGGCAATAGAAGAAGGGGACGACAGAGAATGAGATGGCTGGATGGAGTCACTGAAGCAGTAGGTGTGAATTTAAATGGACTCCAGAAGATGGTAGAGGACAGGAAGACCTGGAGGAACGTTGTCCATGGGATCGCAATGGGTCGGACACGACTTCGCAATTAACAACAACAAGTTTCAACTTGAGTTCATGTATGGAGTATGAAATAATCAAATACTATTTGTAAGCTATTATACCCTTATTCTAGAATTTTACAATATAAGTGAACTCTTAATACACCATTTTAATATATTCATATTCACCTTCAGACACATGTGATATCATTTATTAAAAAGGGAAGATTGTTCAGGCTGCCACTGTGTTTTTATTGAATTTGTTACATTTTGCTGCTTTATATTAGCAGCCCAAAATCAATCTGGAGTCAGGTTACCAAAATCAAAAATCTAACATGCCCCATTTGGATAACCCCGAGTCAGTTTATTGGGAACTGAGAGAAGCAGCATATGAAAAATTTCAGGGAAAAAACCTGATTCAAAATAAGTAACCGGGGGAGGATTTGGAAGGGGGGAAGGTTGGAAATAATCTTGATTTTCAAGTAGCCTTTTTGGATGATATTTTTTTCCAAACTCCAAAGCTAGAGGATAAAGCCAAGATTGCTTGTGAAGTTGCCACTTAAGTTGGTGCAGGAAAGCAAAAAAAAAAAAAAACAAATTAGGATTGTGTGGAGCTAAAATTTCCCCAGGCAAATTATGGTCTTTTCCAACAGTTCACCCTCACATTCCACTGATCACACACAAAGATGTTTTTGCTAACCAATTCTAGACCACCGTCTACATTACCTGACCTGGCTAAATTTATCTTTAGCTGTTCAGATTTTAAAGTGCTTTTCCCTTTCCCCAATACATACATTGCTTGAATGCCTAATTTACAATGTGGTTGATGACAGAATTTGGGGCTGGATCTAGCTAGCTTTTATTTAGGGCTACTATAGGCACACTCAACACATCCTTCCCTCTGGTTATTTCCTCCAACACTACTTGCAAAAAAGCTACACAATATGGCTTCTCCACTTAAGACACATTTCAGATTTTTCTGAAGATAAGAGACTACTACATTTCAGTTAAGATAGCAAACTACTGAGCAAGTTTCCCAACAAGAGCAATTGGAATTAAACTCATTTTTCAACTACAGTAGCAACACTCCTAAACACTGCTTGAAGAACTGCAGCCCAATATGAGTTTGGCTAACAAGTGGGAAACAAAGCAGACTTGTAGGAATTGTGGGCTGGGATATTATGGCTGGTTTGAATTGAAAACGGACTCTTGAAGGGCCCCACATTGCTGTAGGCAAAGCAATACTTGAAGACAAAAAAGACTGTGCACCTGGAGACTGAGAATCTGTCAGGTGTTTTGAGCACTTGATTGCAACAAATGAGGCAATCAAACAGCTGTAAGGTATTCTCAACCAATAAACTATCATTTACCCTACAGGAAAGCAATTTCAGTTTTACTATAGTTTTGCTTTTAAAAAGGTTCAATTACACTAAGCAAAATAAGCCAGAATTAGATGGGAACAAGGATCTGTGGAAACAGATGTAGCACACTAACGTAGATAACTGCACACCCATAAAATTCAAGGGAACCCAATTAAAATACTTTTTTCATTAAAGCTTTTGTATATTAACTTTCCAATCACACTATTATATGCTTGTTTCAGACTTCCTATTTTTTTCTCATTTTATCCTGCCTTTTTCACTAACAGCTTTCCTTTTATTTCTGTTCTGTAGTATGCATAGCGCTTCAACGGAATTCATGGTTAATTTTACTTTTAAATAAAGTCACTGAAATGAGGCTCAAAGTTAGGTGTATCTAAACAAACTTGCATGCGTCTTCAAAAAATGCTAACTCCTTAATTTCCTAGCGCCCGTCCCAAGACACGTTGTTATAAAAGCGGATTTGCGCTCCAAATTACAAAAATGTTTTTCTAAAAGCTTATTTGCTTTCCTGCCATTCTCAATTTTTCTTTCCTTTTTCAGCAAAGCTGTACTTCGTTCCTATTTCCTTAACGCCCTTCCCACCTTTCGTGCAACTATACCCACCAAAACCACCCACACTAGCACTCCCCACCACAACATTTTACGCCGCACCACGCCCGCCCGCCCTATTTATGCACCCGTAGCCTACCGAAGTCTCGCGATAATCAAGTCGCTCCAAGCATCGGAAAGAGCCGTCCCTTGTCTGTTCTCGCGAGAATACCCATCTCTCACTCCCAAAGAACTACAGCTGAAATTAGTTAAAACAAGCACTTCCGGCTTTCTGATGGAAATGACTGCGCGGAGGTTGATGCGATAAATAAGTGTTGCAAACGCTTAGCATGTAGAGCCATTCCTCTTACTTGGTTAATATTAAACCTCTATTTATCCCCTGCCAACAAACTTGGGTGGAATGTTTGGCTGAGGCAGAGGAATTCATCTCAAATCATGGAATCTCCAGGGCGCCTGCCTATCGGGGTCACCAGGATCCTAACGGTAATAACTGCTCGCGGAAGCTTCCCTCTTTCCGTTGGGAACGTTTGCAGGAAGGGAGCAGGGAGAGGTGATTCTTGCTAGGCTGAACACGATCGCGCGTGTGAACTTATTCCCGAGTTGGAACCAGAGAAGGGAACTTAGCGGTTTAGGGGGTCGTAGGAAAACGAGCCCTTTGCATTGAAAAAGGGGGTTGGGTTAGGGGGGGTTGTTCGTTGACCCTGCTAGGTGAAGGTGCGGTAATTTGCAACTTCAAGGAGAGATTTACGGATGCTGGGGGGAGTACTGAGAATCCCGAGGGGAATCGCCTCTTTGCCACCTTCCCGCTTACAGCAAGGCAGGAGCTTGCTGGCTTTTTCAACTGCCCGCTCCGTGTATGATTTCAGGAAGACGGGGCAACAGCACTGGCAGGCAATACGATCTGTAATCCTTCCCACGGCACCAAGTATAGTTATTGTCTCGGCATCTGCGTGGGTAAAAGGCACGCGGGGGGGGTATGGTTATAATAGTAGCTGGATCGGTTTTTGCCACACAATGAGCGTCCGGAGGGGAGATTTGAACGGCCACAAAGGTACAGAGGTAGTCCTCGACATGAAACCATTCATTTAGTGACTATTCAAAGTTACATGGCACTGAAAAAGTGACATAACCAATTTTCCCACTTAGGAGCATTGCAGTATCCCCATGGTCACGTGATTTATATTTAATATATAAATATTTATATTCTAACAGACAAGGTAAATGGGGAAACCATATTCACTGTTGCTAATTTTACAACTGCAGTATTCAGTTAACAAATGAGACAAGAAAAGTTGTAAAATGGGGCAAAATTCACTTAACAAATGTTTCACTTAGCAACATAAATTTTAGGCCCAATTGTGGTTGTAAGCTGAGAGCTACATATACACAGCAAGACAAGGTTGGAGTAAAGGCAGATTGAGAAGTTTTGTCCTGCAAAAAACTTAAGATACGGGAATTGCAAATTAGAGGAAGAAGTGTGTGAAACGTTTCTCGCAGGTGAGAGAAAATCTTGGCCAGAGGTAACTTTAAAAAACAAAAAAATAATTTTGAGTGTGAAATTTCAGCTTTTATGTGTTCCTTTCTTTGCTCCTGAAAAACTGCCTCCTGCTTCAGGCAAAAATATAAGGCAGACCTAGGACTAATGAGTTTCACATTGCATTCATTCATTATATTTTGTAAATGTAAACGTGCTTGGAGTTTTTTGTCAACAAATGGCTCTCATCTGCAATTATAATTTTGATAACTTTATTTTCTATTTTTTTCATAGGACACAGATTGGTCTGAACCATGGATTTTAACCCTAGTGTTTTTCCACATAGTCTGCTTATTGTTTACTTACCTTTCATTCCAGCACTACCGTTTCCAAATAGGACTTTTTCTATCTATCAGTAAGTATTATATGAAGTTTTTCTATGGACATATTTGTTCTCTGATAGACGATAAGGCATGATTTAAGGGTCATTTGTGAATGTTCTTTGTTTATTAAGAATGATTAGACTACAAAAAGTCACACTAAGCCATGGCATATAGAATAAAACACAGCTGGCTAAATTCTATGCAATATACTAACCATGGTTTACAGACCACTAATTTTGGGATTATTGAATATGCTAAATCACACCAAGCACTATATTATTACTCAAAGGGGTACAGTTATGAGTATTTTCTGTCCATTGAATGGCCACACTGGGTATTTTGTGGCATGAGAATAGCTGTGAGTCAAGTAAGGCAGTACTGCCAAATGGGCTCAGCTGGGGTGAGGGGAAATGGGGAAATTACATTTTATTATGACTTAAGGCCTTTTAAATTCCTTTATAGCCTGTTTTTTTAAGTCCCAAATTTTTTGCTCTGTCCATTCTGAGAGCACATGGAGGTCACTTTTTTCTTCTCTTCTTTTGAATAAAGCAATGTGTGAACCCAAGCTAGACTTTAATCTTACTTAAGGTTCTTGCAGGAATATTTCTATGATACAATTCCACTCACAAGACAGGAAATTGGGAGTTAAATCCGTTAGATCTTCCCTACAGCATTTTCTACTGTTGGTAGAAAGGTATATGATTAATTAATTCATGAATGAGAATTAGTTCCTGAGTGTTTCCTTGAAATCTATATTCTATAGGATAGTATGGATAGTTTCTAGATTGAATGAATAAAAGAATCCTGTATTCTGTGTTGAGTTTATGAGTTATCTAATCTTGCTATAATAATAAATATTAAAAAATGTAAAAAATTCTTCTAAAAAAAGATACAGAAGGTTTCCACTAATTTAAGTCAAATCAATATAGGGCTGAAATATGTATATTATGTAAAAGCTCTTTACTGGAAAAGAAATATCCACCATGCAATAATCCTTGATTTAAAAATGAAGAACTGTCCTCTAGATATTGTTGAATGTTAGCTAACATTTTGTCTGACTATAGAGTAATGCTAAATGGAAAGTTTTGGAATTTGATTCTACATGTGGAGACCTGGACTGCTCTCCAGCACCCTCCAAACACACTACCAGGCAGGTTTTAAAATTGGGAATAAGAATAGTGTCTTTCCAGAGGCCTCCAATTTCTGTTCTAACCCTCCCCAAATCAAAAAAGTGTTGAAAACATTAATATCCCTACCAGGGATACTGTAACATTGCTGATTCCAGCTGCTGCTCCAACTTCATTTGGGCAGGTGAAGTAATCTTGGGATTGAGGCATGCAAAACCTACACTGCTGTTGACAAACAGCTTGTCATTTAGTAAATACCTTTGTTGGCAACCATTTACAAATTGTTAGCCTCGGTAAGTATTCTAGAAAAGAAGCACAACCAGGAGTACTATTCTTATTCATTGTAAGCTTACATTAACAAAATCTTCCAAGGCTGAAAGTATTTTTCCACGCCTTTCTTTTTGCTCTCTGGAGGGTCCCTTCTGAAATGCTTCCATGCCAGCCTCCGTTCTGTGAGGCGATACCTATTTTATATGCCAGTTGTCCAGTCGGTTGTACTGATGATTCAATATCCTTTAGCAATCTGCAATTGCATTTGTCTTTCTAGTGATCCTGGTATTCTGTGCAGAATACATAAATGAAGTAGCTGCTGCAAACTGGAGGTAAATACATTATTTTACATTATTTTAATATATAGAGAGAAAGATACATCTTAACAACTGCATAAAACATTATACTGTATTTAAAAAAAACTATTCCTGTTGCTTTATTTTCACAAATAATTCAAGGCAGCAAAACTTATAAGTCTTTCTCCTGTTCTTATTTTCTTCACAATAACAACCCTTTGAGGCGAGTTGGGCTGAGAGCGCGAGTGGCCCCAAGTCACCCAGCTGGCTTTCATGGCTAAGGCAGGACTTGAATTCCTGGTCTCCTGTTTTTTCCCCCTCTCCTGGTGACTGGCAATACAGATAGTCCTCAGCTTACAACCATTTGTTTAGTGACTGTTTGAAGTTATAAGGCACTGGAAATAGTGACTTGCGACAATTTTTCATGGTTATGACCGTTGCAGCATCCCCATGGTTATATGATCAAAATTCAGCCGCTTGGCAACTGCCATGTATTTATGACTGTTGTGATATCCTGGGATCATGTGAACACTTTTTGTGACCTTGTGACAGGCTAAGTCAATGGGGAAGCCAGATTCATTTAACAACCGTGTTATAACTTCACAACTACAATGATTCACATAACAACTGTGGCAAGAAAGCTCGTAAAATGGGGCACAACTCATTTAACAACTGTCTTGCTTAGCAATGGAAATGTTGGGCTCAGTTATGGTCATGAGTCGAGGACTACCTATATATGCTTTCCAAGTATGGTTGGATTTCCACTCCCATGTTCTATTACCGTGGGTCGTTTTACCTAGGATTGATGGGAAATTGAGCTTAGCAACAGAATGTTCTATTCCACCCACCTCTGGCAGAAGTCATTAAATTCCTTTAAATACTGCATTCCAAATACTCTAAAAATGGAGACTAGACCATGTGCCTAATTTTCTGGTCAGTGAAATCAGTGAGATTTTGGTATGCCTCACATTAAACCTTTGGCATTCAAATGTATAACCTATAATCTTTCTCTTGGAGTAAATGTTTTCATGCTGGGAAACATCAATGTTTTTTATACATGTGTGGGTTTGGTTTTTGTTTTTTAAATCTTTAAAACAAAAGAAAGTCTGTGACTTGGCTAGAAGCTGAAACAAGATAGGTTTTTCCACTGGACCTTTGACAAATTTGGATTTCCTTTGGAATTCATAAAATGGATTAAGATACTATATAAATTGGCCACCTCTAAAGAGAAAATTAGTGGGATATTTTCTCCTATTTTTCCACTGTTTAGTGAGAGAGAGAAACAAGAATGTCCATTTTCACCCTTGTTTTTTAATACCTGTGTGGAATCCTTGGGTTGGCTTGGAATGGTACATCATTCAATTGAACACAAATTGGTTTTATTTGCAGATGATATTTTTTTGTTTATTTCTAAACTTTATAATACCATCCTACTGTTGATGCAAAAGATAGATGCTTTTAATAAAAAAAACAGCATTGACCAAGTTGGAACTGATGCCTATAGATGGAAATTTGGTTAGCCATCCATTTAAGGTGTATCAATTCTGTATTTGTACTGAATTCATTAAATATTTAGGTATGTCTATACTAAAAGATATAACTCAGCAACATGTAATATAAGTAAAATATGGAGAGGATTTCTTCAGGTATTAATAAATGAGAGTCGTCCTCATTCCCTTTGGAGAAAGGCAAACACTCTCAAAATAAATATTGTTCCCAGATTAATTTATATTCTGAAAGGAATCCCGGTTTATATATTTAGAAAATGGTTCAGAAAATAATGTCTTTGCTTAGAAAATTTCTGTGGGATTCTTCAATTAGGAGAATGTCTTTGCAGAAAATGCAATTACAAATTAACAAGAAAGGATTCAGTTTTCCGAATCTGGAACCTATTGTCAAGTATTACATCTTGGAAGCCAACAACTGGTATTAATTGGAAAAATAAATGTATGGCCTCTTTCACCCAATGGATTAAGGACCTGATTGCACTTGCTGCCTACAATTGGTTTGCTTCTAGATGTAACTTTATATGGCAAATATAATAATTGAAAAGGGGACTCATTTATATAGGAGGCCAAAAAACAGTTATATAAATGCATTAGAAATATACATGCACTTGAACAATAATCACATGAAATAACTATATATAAAATTATAACTACTGTTAAAATGATATACTTTTAACTTTGTTGTAATTTTTCACCTTTTAAAACATTTTCTATTTTTTTTTCCTTTTTGTATTTTTATCTATGCATTAGGTTTTTTTCCTGTGTTTTTTGTTTTTTTTTTTCTCTACTGTAAAAGCCATAGAAGAATACGTGTTTAAAAATATAGCTTTTGCTTCCTTTCCAATTGCTACCTTGTGCCCAACGTTTGTATAATTGGGCTTCCTGAAAGAAGAAACCAAAGCTCAACAGCAGGAGCACTGAAAACATGATTCTAAGAGTGCATTTATTTGAGACCTCTGCCACCTTGCGTGGATAAACTGAGTCAAATGCTCAGGAGCGGCCAGCGAAATACAACTAGCACACAACGGATGATAACCTGGAAAAAAAAGTTTTAAAACTTTTGGTATTTAAAGTTCAGGCGTACAATCTTGTCTCTTAAAAGATGTTTCCGTTTGGAACGTGGCCTTTAGTCTGTTTAATTCACGATTGTCTTTTATGGAGTTTGTTTTCACCAAAAATGTTTATTTTTATTTTTGCTCCTTTACAGATTCTTCTCAAAGCACCAGTACTTTGATTCCCAAGGAATGTTTATTTCATTAGTGTTCTCAACACCACTACTGCTAAATGGCATCCTCATAGTGGTAAGCGCTAATCTCTTGCCTTAAAAATGTTGGCATCATGTCAAAATGCAAAAGGAACCAGAAAATTTTTTTTATTATAGCAAATTCCTATTCATGGTGTCTGGTAATACTTTCATAATGTTTGATCCCCTGGCATTTATTAGTAGCCACTATAATCATAACGTAAATTACATCACTTGTCTCATTTTAGTGACATCTTGACATGTGTGACATAAGTTGCTCCTATGCAGTCAGTCATGGTTACCAGGCAACTTGGTAACCCTTTCGAACTACTAAAGTGTGTTAGTAATGGAAACCCAGCAACACCATCCTTTTGAAGGACAAATTGTGTTTATTTGGGTTTTAGAAGCTTCAATAGAAAACCTAAAAAGGATCAGGAATTCAACTCCCTTGTAGAGGGTTATGCAAATTAAAATATATCTGTAATCTGTAAAGTCATAAGTAGTGAGGTGAGTAAGGTAGAATGACAGAGTGTTTTGTTGAGGAATTAAAGGCCGTGTGTTTTAGAATGATTATTGTTTATTCACTACTATTTTGATAACATTCTGTACTTATTAATGAGGTTTTGTTCTCATTTGGAAAAATTGTCAATACTTCAAATATTTATTTATTTTTAAAATTTATAAGCCGCCCCACTCCCGAAGGACTCTGTGCAGCTAACAATAAAAAACACATAAAACATAACAAAACAACAATACAAAAACAATCATCCAGGGGTAAGGTTTTATAAACCCCAGGCCTGCTGGAAAAGCCAGGTCTTAAGTAGCTTACGGAAGACCAACAGGGTGGGAGCGGTCCTAATCTCCGGATATTGAGTTTCACCAAGCTTGATAGCATCTTATGACTGGAGATTTAGGTTGCATAAACAGAGGCCCCTGAAGAAATGAGAACACTATTAGGAATTGAATTTCACATGTCATTTGTTTTTGTTTTTCAGATTGCTTGGGTTTATAAAACAGTGAACATAATGACAGAACTAAAGACAATACAGCAGAAAAGGAAAGCAAGCAGAGAAAATAAGAAAAGTCAATAAATAAGTATATCTTTTGTAACTGGTTATGTTACCAAATATTCTATCACCCATAATAACTTGTCGTTGGAAGTTAGAGATTTCTTACATTCCTTTATAAATGATCTTATGTTCTTATTGTTCTATGAAAAAAATCATTTTCATTTTGAGCCCACTGTTACAGCAATTCTTACATGGCATTTCACTATATAGACCAGTGGTTCTCAACCTTTTTAATGCCGCGACCCCCAACCAGCCGTAAGTCGAGGACTACTCAACCGGTCGTAAGTCGAGGACTACTCAACTGGTGCAGCACCGTTTGCAGAATGGGACTTTTGGCGGGCTCAGCAGGGCAGAGACAGCCTGGACAATTCCTATTGGCTTTTGAAAGCCAATAGAATTAGACTCTATTCAAGAGAGTCTATTCTATTGGCTTTCAAAAGCCAATAGAATAAAAGGGAGTAGCACAGCTAAGGAAAAGGAAAAAATGGCGGACTGCGTTGTTTGGCGACCCCCGTGAAATGGTCATTCGACCCCAAATGGGGTCCCGACCCATAGGTTGAGAACCACTGAAATAGACTAATTCATTCTGAACCAGTCATAAGGCATTTCATAAGGTTATTAGAGTTTCTCTAATGTACTGTTTTATTATAGCTTAACGCGTGAGTTGTTCAAGGTTTTATGATATATGTTGTGCATCAAATATGCCAAAATGAACAAGTAAATTTTAATAAGTACCAGTTAGCAACATAATTGCCATCCATTATTAATTTCCATTTAGCAATTATCATAGCAGTATAACAGAGTTTATACAATATTTTCATGATACAAAAATAATCGTTGGTACAAACTTCAGTAAAACAAAAATGATAAAATGTTGCATTGTGACATGGTATAAGCCGTCAGCTTTCTGTACATATCAACATCAGAGGCAAATATATAAATCATACAGTTTGTGTTGCAATGCATATTTTGTCATTCCCTCCAATTTGTGAATGCCTATGCTAAGTTTGGTTGTAAATTCTTGGATTTTGTGAGCATTGTATTCAAACTTTTATATGAGAAGTGTAATTTAATAATGTGGGTTGCTGTATTTGTCATATGGACCTGTTCCTGGTTTTTAATTAAATGCTTAAGGGTTCATTAGGTTCTATCATTTTTCAAACATTTGTAAATACTTTGAGATTGTATTCCTATATTTATGTAGGAGCAAGTTACTGAACTCAGTCTGAAACAGTTTTACCTACTAACAAGTAAGCTTGCTTTCAAGAAAATGTGAATAGGATTGCGCTGTGCAATTACAAGCTTAGTTGTTGTAATATAACACATTGCTGTTCAAGAAGCAAGCAAAGTCTAATATCAGGAAGACATGAAATGTAAGTAGTTCATACAAGTAGAATCGAAGTCCTGGATCTGAAACGGATACAGAGATGAAAATGGAAGTAATGTAAACTTGGTGCTAGTGGCACCACAAGATTCAATCCTATGTTGTAAGAGGAATGTTTAGTCCTGCTTTGGACAAAATGGCAACCAAAGGTTTACCTCAAACCAGGAAAAATGTTGAAATATTTGTATATGTAGAAGAGGAAGAAACAACAGCTTGATGGTTCTCTTAGTTTTGATCCATAATCTTCAAATATACTTTTATTATTTTGAATATTTACAAGGTTCTAACAAACTTGTATGCCTTATCAAAATAATAATATCCAAATAGGAGGAAGGGATGTAATTAGGAAAGCAAGAAAAACCCAATGTCAGGTATTGTGTATGTGTATGTGCGTGTGCTTCTTATCTATTTGGAATGGAAAACAGTTCATAGAGGCAAGCTGAGAATATCTGAGACTACAATCTGAGGGGATTGCTTTCCAATTCTGAGAGATTGCTGTGAGGGAAGGTATTTTTCTCATATTGCTTATAGTATAAAAAAGGTTTTGCCACTTGTGCACAAAATCATTTTAAATATGGCAGTTTGGATTCAAAGTTAGAGAATCAGAAGGATTTCTTCTATTCCTGAAATTATTTTCAAGGGTTATTAAAAATAATTCCCAGCTCAACGAAGGTCATTCATTAGGTTTGTAGCGTTTAGAAGGTAAAGATTTATTAAAGATCCTCGTACAGAATCTTCAGTTAAGAGTTAAAAGCTTTCATAAAGGGAAGATAACATGAAAAATATTTATGCAATACAGTATAAGATTATACAGGCAGTCCTCAATTTACTACCACAATTGAGCCTAAAATTTCTGTTATTAAGTGAGACATTTGTTAAGTGAGTTTTCCCCCATTTTATGACCTTTCTTTTCACAGTTGTTTAGTGAATCACTGTAGTTGTTAAGTTAGTAACATGGTTGTTAAGTGAATCTGGCTTCCCCATTGACTTTGCTTGTCAGAAGATCACAAAAGGTGATACCATGAGCCCAAGACACTGCAACTGTCATAAATATGAGTTGGTTGCCAAGCACCTAAATTTTAATCATATGATCATGGGGATGCTTCAACTATCGTGTGAAAAATAGTCATAAGTCACTTTTTTCAGTGCTATTGTAACTTCAGTCACTAAACAAACTGTTGTAAGTTGAGGACTACCTGTATGCAAAACTCTGACATTCTAAGAGTGAGATGGGTGGGTGTCTAAATTTTATAAATAAAACAGATAATATTTTAGTAATAGAAAAGATAAATACAGGTGTTTATAGAACTGTCCAACTCAGGAAGGACTGCAGATTGCCCCTCTCACAAGAAAAGGCTATTAAAATATAATTCTGACATTTGAGCAGTTTGAAAACAAAGTGAAATTATCCAAATGTTTGTATTTTCTGTTATCTGTTTTTTAAAATGTTATAACACTCCTCGCTGGAGCACAGTGCCTGCAATTTGCCACCAGGTGCTGCTGTTTCACAGATTTTGGGGGATCCTGGAACTATAAGTTAAGCAAGGCTATCAAGAGAGACCAAGGTATGCAGGAATCTCTCCTGTTTTATGCTGGTTTTTGAGATAATCACACAAACAGGAAAATGTGGCAACATCACCCAGGAACACCAAGAAGCAGGGATTTTGCCTTGACACAGATTACTATGACTAAAGAGTCCAATCCAACAGAAAGACCATAGTGATGGCAGAAAATTCCCTAAAGGCACATCTTACATGAATGCTTTGTCTTGATTGGATTTACAAATACTGTATTAAACAAATTTAAAAGGTGATTAATTACATGGATTATAAAGTAAACTGGATTACAATCTGCCAGAACCTAATGCCATGAACTTTTAGAGGCTCATTCAAGGCAGCCTTCGACTGTCTTCCTCTAGATTCATCAGCTCTGTGAATCCCAGAATTTCCAGACAGCGTGGACAGAAACTGAAGTGGCTGGGAACTGTAGTCCTCAACACTGAAAGATCCAAATTTGGGGAAGGTAGGCTTAAACCAGTGGTTCTCAACCTTTTTAATGCCGTGACCCCAACCGGTCGTAAGTCGAGGACTATCCAACCGATCGTAAGTCGAGAACTTTTCCTGCCTGGGAGCGCCGCGCATGCATGGTGCCACCCCCTGTGCCGGCTGAGGTGTAGCTGGCAAGGGGCAGCGATGGCGCAGGGCGACCACCGGCTGGGCCACCAGCTGGCCCAGCCCAAGGGAGGTAAGGCACCCGCCGGGCCCCACACGCGCCAGCAACCCTCCCTGCGCCCGCCAGCCTCCCACCCCTGGCCCTCTTTTACTTACATTTTTAGTAGTTGCTCAGCAGGGAGGGGTGGAAGCTTCCAGACAACTTGCAGCGCCATTTGCAGACTGGTGCTTTTGGCGGGCTCAGCAGGGCAAAGACACCCTGGACAATTCCTATTGGCTTTTGAAAGCCAATAGAATTAGACTCTATTCAAGAGAGTCTATTCTATTGGCTTTCAAAAGCCAATAGAATAAAAGGGAGCAGCACAGCTAAGGAAAAGGGGGAAAAAATGGCAGACTGCGTTGTTTGGCGACCCCCGTGAAATGGTCGTTCAACCTCAAATGGGGTCACGACCCACAGGTTGAGAACCACTGGCTTAAACCATAATGTTAAACATCAAGGATCTAAAATAATTGCTCTTTCGTTCAATGCCTTATCTGAGTGCCTTGCCTTTCAAAATTCTATGTTTCCTTCCCCTCACTTCCTAATAGTTTTTTGTTTGTATTCACCTTAAATAAGTTTCATATTCCTTTACATAATGACTTGTTTTCTCTAAAAATGCCAAAAACAATCCTTTCCACATCTTATGCTTATGAGCCCATTTATAACAAATCTTTAAAGCCTTATCATTCAAAGTTAAAAGTTAATCATAAAAGAATTAACAAAAACAACATATTGAAATTTAATCCCATCAAATAATGTCCCACAGATTAATTTCTTACCATCTTCTTTTCATCTCAGAAACTCCTTCACAAGTTTAACACTTCCCTTCAGTTTTAATAGCATAGCTTATCACTTCCTCTAAAAAATACCACAATAAATCTCATCTTCCCATAACTTTATAAGTGAATCATTCAGTCCTGGTCAAGAAAAAAGTGTTTAAAAGTTGCTAGGAAACAAAATCATGTACACTTTAACCTTTATAAAATTTAACAATTTTATAAATCTTTTTATTTTTTGAAAGTCTTGATATTTATTTCTTTTAAGTAGTGTCTCAGAAGCTGATTTCATTTTCTCTACCTTTTGTCAGGAATTCCATACAGATATCACTTTTGATACCTATCCAAATCACTTTTCTGAATTGAAATCACACATCCAAGTCATTACTCTGGTTTCTTATTTGTAAATCCTATGTAATATCTTTGTCAATATCATTCTTGTATTTGCCAATTTTAAATCCATATCCAAATAGCCTGATTCTCAGTTGCATCTTTTTTTGAGCCCATTTTTAAGTAACATACAATCTGAAAAGACAGTTCTGAGTACATTGTCACTAAATATCCTTGAATTCTTCCAGAGTTAAAATATTTTACTTCGTATCATGGAATTCATTCACCAGCTCTGCTGTGGTCATTGGGTCTACTCTCTGGCCAAGCCATCTTATATTTGCTGTGCTTCCTGGAAGTGCCAATGCAAGACAACGCATAAAACATTCTCTCTCCAATTAAAATATACCCCTATATATTGTGGTGTATTGCTAATCATCAAATCAACAGTCTTGTTGCATATCTGAATGGAAGGCTAAAGGTATAGTTCCGAAGTAAGAAATGTAATTTTACAGAGTGCATTTAATGTTTAATAGTTGTAATTAAATGAAATCAGTTAGTTTTTAAAAAATAAAATAGTTTTATTTTTAAAAAGACAAAAGAGAAAATTGCTGAGCTGGAAGTTGGAGAAAG